TCAGCGTATTTTAGCTGGGCGTCTAAAATATGAATTTAAACGCTGTCTTTCAGGAAATCCCAAAAAAAGGGGTTCAAGAGATGCAGAAAACGATGCCAGAGAACACTTGTGTGACAAAAATCTAGAGACAGCACTAAAGGAATACTCGATGTTTGACGCACGGTAGGATCTGAGAGCAGCACAAGAGGCAGAGCTCGGCCGGTCCATGCCCGCCGGTGCCCCGGGCTCCGAGCGGCGCTCCCGGCGGGCAGGGCCGCCTCANTCACACAGATTTCCTGTGGTACTTTTTTCTTCTGGCAACTCTGAGAGGCCATGCTAAAGCTGTGGTATCAGATCAACTCTCAGGATGGTGTTTGGAAATATCAAATAGTGTCTAAACAAAAGTAGACAAAAATGAAATAGACATAAACTATGTTAAAGTGAACAAAAATCAGAAAAAGTGTTGTTTTCATCATTCACTTTTACACTTGCAGGGTATATGCACTGTGATTACTTCAAAGCACCAGGCACACCGTATAATTTTATTACTCTGGGCATCCAGGCCACTGGTTAGGAAAACATCTTCAAAACTGTTGGCTTTATGAAGGCAAGGAAACAAAGGTAGGTTATTTCCAAAGAGAAAGTTACCTTTGCTGTAGGAAGCATGTCCAAGCAGTCCAATACGAATAGTGCCAATGCTTGTATCAGCATCATAAACTGGTTAAATTGCCAAGTCAGGCTAAAGAGAAACGTTGCTATGAATACAGCCATGAGTGTGAGCCTCTGGAAGGAAGTTAGTTTTATTTTACTTTATGGTTTTCTTCCTTAAAACACAAAAAAATCAAGCGACAAAAAACCCCCAACAAACCCAACCTTAATCTGGTGTTATTTTAAAACCACTTTTAAAACACTGAATTTTCTAATTGCAATAACAACTTGGAGGATAAGAAGCATTTTATTAGAGTTACAAATTCTTGACTTATGCCTGTGTTTTACCACTGTAATATCATTTTCAAGAAAACAGTGAAATCTCAGATAGTTTCAGCCCCCAGACTAAAATGCAATACCTGTTTTACTGTGGTATAAAATTATAATGTGGTATAGCTATTATTTGATCAAGATGAGGGGTAGTGACTTAAGACTCGCTGGTCAAAGAAACTGTATCACCCATTTGCTTTAATTCTTGCAGATCAGGGCAGTTTTCTCTTACTAAGTTTATTGTGTTGTACTTGTCAGAAATACTCACTTCTTGAGCAGGCTGTAAATGAGTTCTGAGTAGGTATGTGATGGCTGCTATCTGAACAGCAAAGAATGGCAGTGCCCAGTTCTCCCTTAAAGGAATGGTGAATTCTACCCTTGTAGTATCTACCCTGTACAAAACAGAGTTTCACACATTTAAAATCTAGCAAACACTTGGTGACAGACAGCTTGCAATGACAGACAACTTTGTGCTATTTTAACTCCTTATTTATAAAAATGGAGGCTCTACACTCCAGTTCCTTTAACACACCTGCCTCTGAAAATAAACCACTATGAAGGTTCTGCAAGTTATCCATTGTTTCTGTGTCTCAAATGATGTACTTCAGCTTCATTAACATGAACTAAACTATGAATTACATCTTACCCATGAAGCACAGCATAGGGTAATTTAGAAATGATAAATACACCCCAAACTAAAAGCACTCCTAAAATCCAGCTTGTGGATTTCCACACCACAGATCATTTACTTAATTTTTTGGTTTGCAAATGCACATATAAGAATATAAACAGAATATAATTTCCACTGTGATCCCAGTGACTTGAGTTTGAACACAGTTTAACTGCTTATGAGCTTTTGGTTATTTTTTGAAGCTTTTAAACATAAGAAGTACATGATGGAAGAACTCCCCAAAGAACAGTAATTTGCAAAACCTGATTTATAAGTTAAAAACAAAGAAAAATTATTCTTCTCCTATCCTATCCTGGCATAGAGAAAATATCTGCTAAAAAGGCAAGTAAGCAACATATCTCAGAGATGCTTAGCTAGAGGAAGAATGCACCTAAATAGTTACTCAGTAGCCTCAGGTGTAATTTATCTGGACAGAAAGTCTTTTTCCAAATCCATTCCATGCACTTATTATATTGCATAAAGGAAACAAGCTCTCATTGTTCACCAATTATTAGAAAGATGGACAAATTTGCTCCAAATATTCTGTAAATGGAAGTGAAGACACCATGAAAAAAACGTGTGAAATACTGCACATTGCTTGTGGCTTTTAATTACTTTTATATTTGGAGAAAGAAACATCTTGCCTCCATACACCTGTAATTATTCTGTAGTGGATGTGCTTGCAGATAAATTCCTTTAGAGCTGCTCATTAACATATCAAACGTTTCTGGTAGAACCAAGACTGTAGTTTTATTTTCTTTCTGTTTACAAGCCAATGTCACCAGTGTTAACTCCATGCCAGCAGCTTAATTCTGGCATAAAGCCAGTTCTTGGATTTTTATCTCCAAACTGATAATTCTCCAAGTGATAAGGCACTAGAACAGCTCCAATTACCACATTTTTTATCTGAGGCTTAGTGCAGGAGATGGCTACAGGAATAAGGGGAAAGAGAAACTGAACTTCAGA